AAGAAAGTAGCAAAAGAAAATATAAGTCTCAAAGAAAATATAGGGTATGTTTTATTATTCTATTAATACCTAATACTTACTTTTAGGCTTTTAGCCAAGTGTTCTTTATTTATTTATTGATGTACTTATTTTATTGTTCTTATTTTGTCCCCAAGTAGTTATCTATAAGAAAGTGTTGGAATAGAAATGTGATAAATATCACCGTCGAAATGTGATATTTAGCGAGTTAAGGCATGTGAGCATATTCATTTACTATATATGGTAATTACATTTCAAAACAAAGACTATTTTTTTAATTGATATAAATAGCCCATCCCCTCCAACTACCTTCTAAACAAAGACTATTTTTTTGCAATTTTGTATAGAATAGTATGAATTGCCTTAATGGAAGGATACCATCCACAGTGAAATGCAAGCCCAGTTACATTTCATTTCCCTGAAACGATATTCTTAAAAATAGTTCAGTACTTCAGTTTAATGCCATCCCAGCAAAAGAAGCAAATTACTTACGTTAGTGCACCAAAATCCCCAAAAAAAGTGACTACAGGAGAGTTTTGAGCAGCTAGAAGAGCTTGCAAATATATTTTGAAAAATGAAAATAGGTTATAACACTGAATATCTGCAGGGATAACAAAACTGACTTAAGAATTAATAGAGAGGAACCCCATTCTACAATAAAGAAGGTTTTGTCACCAAGATTTGAGAGGAATATAAACAAGAATGCCTGTAATAAAAGAGATAGGGTTTTAAAACATTAAGAACAATCCAAAATCGCTAGAGCTAAAGAAAGAGACACATAAAGCTAACAAAAGAAAAATAGAGAAAAGGGTTCCTAGAAATCCCTTTTCATTATATTTTGCTCGGTAGTTCTGGAGTAAACTAACTGAAAATGGAACACAAAACAATACCAACTGAATTTGGAAATCGTTTCAATGTTATTATCTTTAGGAAGTCTAGGCAGATTAGTGTTTTGTAGGTTGTACTAGATTTCTTATTTCTCTCTGTATAAATTTATAGCCCCATTAGTATGTGGAATTGAAAAACACACATGGAAAGGGGAGTAGGGCATGGCTGGGAGAAACTTATAGGTCTCATTTTGTTGACTAAATGAAAGCAGATGGTATATGGAAAACAAAGACATTGTCTTTTAACCGTCGAGCCGTCCATTCATTTGACTTTACCCGATACTCCTTGATTCCACATTTGCCATTCCACATACACTTCTTCATCATTAGTGCTTTAATTTCCCTAATTTATAGGTGTTTTAATGGATTTAAACATATTTTATTTTCTTGGAATGAGTTGGGGAATTCGGTTGAGTATTATTTTATTTATTTTTACCATTTTAAATCAGCCATGTTGTTTTTAATATTGTTTACACACTTTCACCACTATGTTGAAATACACCAGTGGTCTTAAGCATTAGCTTGTTTGGGAATCCTTACACTCCAATTGTAGTTTTTTCATAGTGTTTAGTTAAGGATACAATGATACATTATTGACAAATTATTGTTACATGTGCACACACAATCCACTTGGACTTCAAATTGAAATGCTTTTAAAAATTTTGAACCAGAGAGGTGGTTTTCAGAGAGCATGCAAAAATGTGGGTTAGGAGCGTCATGTTTTTGCGTCTATTATTGCTCTAAACGTTAATTATATTGACATCTTTAATAAACGAAAACATTATTAAAGTGGAGCAGTAGTTTAAAAATTAAAAACGATAATAAAAAGGGCTAGCATGTCATTCACAAGTATCGCATAACAGCATACAACAAAATATTATTTAAACAAAAACCGTGTCAATAAAACTGTGTACCTTTCACATTGAAGTCGTTCTTATGTGAAGTGCCAAGAACCCGTTCAGCCTAAAACAAAGCATTGAAAGAAAATCATAATAAAATCTTACCTACATGTATTTTACACTAATTTATCCAAGGTGAGACTTTGGGTTGAGAGAAGGAAGCTTTCCTAATGCCCGGTAGGGGTGGGCATGGGTCGGGACGGTTCGGGATTAGGGTTATCCCGGTCCCGTCCCAATTAATAATAACGGAACGAGACGGTACGGGACAAGTCTTTGTCCTAGTATTGTCCCATTTAAATCGGGACGGGGAAGATTCGGAATGGTTCGGGACGGTTCGAGACGTCCCAAACTAACAAAAAATAATCATTTGTAATTAATATATATTTGCATTTCTAAAGTATCATGCACCAAAATATTAACATTTTAAAAATTGATTGATGTTCATCACAAGCTAAAAGCTACTACGTATTAGATTTTAGTTAGGTTTAGCAAAATTTGAGATTTAAATTTAAAACAAAGCAAAAATGAATTAGTTAATTTAAAATCATGTGTTCTAGTTGTGAGATACTCATATGTAGATATATAAAGTGAGATAAAAACCTATGTTAGTAAATATTTATGTTAGGTATTATTTTTAATTTAAAAATTGGGCTTGAAAAACTAAAAACATGTTATCATTTATTTTTTGAGTTGACATTACAAACTAGTCACATGCTACAAAATCTATATAGTTATTACAAACGGGACAACGGGACGGTTCGGGATAACCTTCCAATGTCCCGGTCCCGTCCCGTTTTAAACCGGTACGGGACCGGTGCGGGACAAAATCAATGAGAGCCAAACGGAACGGGACAACACCGGTTCGGTTTCGGGATATACCGGAATGGGACAACGGGACCGGGATTCTTGCCCGCCCCTAAATGCCCCTATGGTTGAATTCAGTAAGTGATTTCTAACAAAGGCTGCATATTCCTATTTGAATTCTTCTCAGTAAGAAAGGCCGACGGTAGCTTGATTTGGAAACACACTAAGAACGGAGGATATAACTCCAGTAAAATAATAGGATTTGGGGCATATGAAAACATCAATACAATTCATATCGCCTAGGATATGAAAAAAAAAATTTCTTCTCTCAAAACAAAGTCTGGCCGAGATATGAAAAGGTGTAGAATCTCTTATGGGATGAAAACTAATCTTATTTTTTGTCTGCCTTCCTTATGTTAATGAAAAAATAAAACTAAACTGCATTTTAGAACATTTCCAAAACATCGTTTTGAACATTTTCTTGCAGCACCAATAGACGTCCCAATAGCACTTTACTAACTTTACCCGTCTTTCCATTTCTCTATTATTAGCATAATAAAAAAAAGTATAATAATGGCTGTAAAGTGTGATGACTTCACAATTGTAGGGCAAGGGGAAAAGGGTTTCAATACAATTTTAATTAGCTGAATTAAGTCAGAAGAGAGGTTAAATGTTTAGTTCAATGCATAACACTAATTTACCCTAGGACATACTTTAAATTGGTTTGGGACAAGGAAGCTTTCTTTAATGGCCTTATGGTTTAATTCACTGGGCAATTTCTAACATCGTTTTGAACATCCTACTGCAGCACCTCTCAGTTTATTCTTATATTTTATGGGGTCCACCTCTTTGAAACCTTAACATAGAATGGTTCCGAACTATTCAAGATAAACTCGACTAAAAACATACTTTGGCACAATGGCACTTAAAGGGAGCTCTGAACATAGAGAACCTTTACAATTCAAAGGTCCATTAAGATCCTTGGAGGAATTCAGGTATATGTAACATTAACTTCAATCAAATCATATAGCATTTTAACTTTTAAAACTATTAATGACATCACCTACACTTATGACATTTAGCGACCAGATTCAGCAGAAATACCTAAGAGACAGTGAGACACCATATGTCTGACAATATGAGGGTTAATTAAGTTCTAACTGAAACAAGAAATTGTAACTTAGAGGATAGTGATTCTTTTGATAAATGGAAGGCTTGAGGCTAACTCAAACTATTCGTTTTCTTGTAAAAACAGTGTGACTTAATCTTTTCGCCCCATCTTGTTCATTCCTAGAAAACAATTACATTGTCCTGTTGATGCACATTTTGGTCAAGACACGTGTTTTTTAAGCTTGTGATAATGGGATTCACGAATTTTGAGCAAAACATTGAGAATTAATGTGATTGAGTTGCATATAAAAGCTTTTAGTTATTTTCACATCAACTAAGTTAATCACTCAAATTTATATATGGCGGCTGCAATTGACTTGGTTTTTTTGTTTAAATTGATGGATTCGTTTAGCGTGTTTTGATAGAGATTGCCCAGCTGTTACAAAATTGTCTAAAACGAAAATAGAGGCCACCTACTTGGTTTTCATTATAGACACTAATACTATTAAATTTTAAAAGCATGAAATACACAAATTCAGAACAAATAAAACTAAACTGGATTTCAGAGCATTTTCGAAACATAGTTTTGAACATCCTATTGTAGCACCAATAGACGTATCAATAGCAATAGAAACCCACAAATATGTAGGTGAAAACATATTTGATTAGTTTTTATAACCAAATAAATGGCGATATAAGAAATGCTAATACATAATCTAGAGCGCCTAGTTGCCCGCCAAGAGCGCTTAATGGGCCGCCTAGGCGTCTAGATTCATCGAACAATTTGTTTTTTTGCCCTTTTATTTTAGTATCCTAAGAATTATGTACCTTTAACTTTGACAATGCTTGTGAAGAAAGCTACTAGTGAGTAATTGAGTAGATATAATATATTATTAAATGTGATAATTCAATCATTCATGCATGTTAATGTGTATGTGTGTGTGTATATTTTTTATACACACACAAATACAACATTACTAATCAAATTTATACAAAAATATTGATAAAACTACAATTTTGATGTCTCCGATTAGTCCCCGTCTAGCCGACTAGGCGCTGGGCTGGCGCCCGACTAGTGCCTAGCGCCTTTTAGAACATTGTTTTTAATTGGACTGAAAATTTCTAGTCTCATCTGATCTGGTTTATTTAAATCTGACCTAAACTAGAATTGAGTTAAAAAGCTTCTATTTTTTCCCACACCGACCGACGGAAGAAAAGAGTCGAACTGGAGGGTGCTTTATAAATCAGCCTTCATCATTCTCATATTTGGTTTTCCTCGAACGCCTGGTTCTTCTTAGCTGCTCCCGTTGACCTCTCTGGATCTATCGATCCGTCTAGGCCATGGCTTCTGGCCTTCCTTCAATGGAAGTAACAAGCTTGCCCAAAAGGTGTGGGGATTATACTTTGGGTTGGGATGAGATCAGATGTGGCTGGTTTGCTGTTGCAAGAGATGCAGACCGTAATGAGTGGAAGGAAGTGGATCCAGACCTGAAGCAGTTGGGTCGTGGTCTGGCAGATGAGTATACGGATCCACCCGACGGCACTGTTAAAACTATCGCGAATGGATATGGACATGTGGTGGACTTGGTGCCGTGTGAGTTGGGACCGGAGCCGGGATTTTTGCGGTGGGCACCTCCAGGCACTCGCAGTAGGCGGAGGAGGACCAAGGGAGAGTTGGAAGCAGAACGCAGAATGCCTAATAAGATGAGGGTGCCTGATCCCGCGACCTTCGCTCACACATACATACCAAGCGCAATAACTTTTTCACCCACCTTCCCAACATCACTTTCACCACCATAACATTCCAGGCTCCTGGGGTTCCTGTTCCCCTACTACTGATCTCTCCCGTTTTCCTACATTAAGCTAGATCAAATAAAGTAATGTGAATACTAGACCTGTATCCCATCCTTGTGTGTATTTTCAACTTTCCTCAAAACACAAATGGCCAGGCTTCTTCTCCTTTTCAAGTTCTTGGAAGCTGTTCTCTTCGCCTGATCTGAATGTTTCTGATCTGAATTTTTTAAGATCTGATCTGATCTGAATTTTTCTGATCTGATCTGAATCTGTCTGATCTGATCTGATCTGATCTGAATCTTTCTGATCTGATCTGATCTGAATCTTTCTGATCTGATCTGAATGTTTCTGATCTGGTCTGATCTGATCTGAATGTTTCTGATCTGATCTGAATCCTTCTGATCTGATCTGAATCTTTCTGATCTGATCTGATTCGAATATTTCTATGATTATAATTATAATTATAATTATAATTATAATTATAATTATAATTATAATTATAATTATAATTATAATTATAATTATAATTATAATTATAATTATAATTATAATTATAATTATAATTATAATTATAATTATAATTATAATTATAATTATAATTATAATTATAATTATAATTATTATAATTGCAATTACAAATATAATTTAAATAAAATTATAATTATAATTGTAATTATAATTACAATATTTATCTCTATAATTGTAACTATAGTTATCAATATTATTATAATTACTCCGTAAAATAATTACAATAATAATAATAATAATAATAATAATAATAATAATAATAATAATAATAATAATAATAATAATAATAATAATAATTATAATAAAAATAATAATTATAATCATAAATTATAATTATAATATAATTATAAGTATAATTATAATTATTATAATTATAATTAATAATAATTATAATTATATTAATGTTAATTATAATATTATAATTTAATAATAGTAAAATAAATACAATTAATATTATTATAACGATATTATTATATTAATATTATTATTACAATAATATAATAATATTACTATTACAATAATATAATAATAATATGATTATTATTATAATTAGTATTATATTATTATAATATTATATTGTAATTATAATTATAATCATAATTATAATTATGATTGTAATTATAATTATAATTATTATAATTATAATTAATAACAATTATATTTATAATTAATTATAGATATAATTATAATAATTACAATTGATTATACTTATAATTATAAGAATTATAATTGTAATTATAATTATAATTACATATAATTATAATATAATATTATAATAATATTAATCATATTATTATTATTATAATATTGTAATAATAATAATAATAATAATAATAATAATAATAGTCTTCTTAACAATTGCATTTATATTACTATTATTATATTAAAATATTATAACTATTATTAATATCTTTTTTTATCATATTATTATTAATATTATTAATAATAATTATATAATAATAATCATAATAGTAATAACAATATTAATAATAATAATAATAATTAATATTTAATATAATAATAAAAATGATAAATCATGTTTGAACTTTTCTGATCTGATCTGATCTGAATGTTTCTGATCTGATCTGAATGTTTCTGATCTGGTCTGATCTGATCTGAATCTTTCTGATCTGATCTGAATCTTTCTGATCTGATCTGATCTGATCTGATCTAAATCTTTCTGATCTGATCTGATCTGATCTGAATTTTTCTGATCTGATCTGATCTGATCTGAATTTTTCTGATCTGATCTGATCTGAATAAAATAAGAATAAGCAATAAGTAATAAGAATAAGACGAACAGAACAGCACCTTGGTTCAATTTATGAGGGAGGCTTGACTAATGAATATTTAATTTAGTGTTAAGTTGGTAGAATTAAAAAAAAAACTGACCTAAACTGGTCTGGTAATGACAAATCTTGTAATGAGTTGCCTTTATGTATTTTATTATTGTCCATGTATTGTTCGATCTGGTCTTATTTATAATGACCTCTTTAAAACTGATATGATCTGAAGTAGGATTAAAAACAATCCAACTAAAAATATTTTCATAACTAATTAACATCCGCAAAGTTTTGATAGCACAACAATAAAAATTAACAAATAAAACTCAAAATCACTTTGGATGAAAATTATTTGGTACATATTACCATTTGAAAATTGAATTTATGGAAAGAAAAATGCAGAATAAATGAAAAATAAGAGAAAGAATTTAAAACGGAGTACAAAATAAATACTCCGTGTGTTTTAGAAGTAAGATTGTAATTTAATACGGTACAAAAGAAACATATTAAAAAGTAAGGACTACTATGTAAATGGAAAAAATTAATACGGGGTATAAAAGAAAGAGGTTAATGAAGATGCTAATGCTCATTAAATGACATGTTAGTGTTTCATTGGTCCATCTGTGAGATGCACCGGAACATCACAAAAATGTGAATGCACCGTTGAGCACTTGAGCTACGTACCCCTGATTTATTCATTAGCTATTCGTTAGCCGTAATAAGATATTAAGAGCATGTTTGGAAGACATAAGTCTCTGCTTTCTAAAAGCTTCTAGTTGTATGTTTTGCATGACAACTTTTAAAAACTTTTCAAAAATTAAAAGATTTTTTTCAGATGCTACATGGAGTAGCATCTCAGAAAAGCCTGTGACTTTTAGTATTAATTCGTCCTAACAGTTTGTTTTGAAACAGAACTAAATCAAACAGTCAGTTTTTTACCAAACAACTATCACATTTTCCTTTTAACATCTTTTCAGTCACTAAAAGCTAAAAGTTTCTAAAAAGCTAACAAAAATATCTTTCACCTAGTTGTGTCAAACATAACTTAAGCGTGAATTAAAAGTGATGTTATTTATTTCTTTGTTAACCAATAAGAGAATGGTAAATAAGTTATTCATAACTCTGCTTTACTATATAAAACAATAGATTTGATCTGCGATTATTTTGTGCATATTTTTTGTATTATTTTTTGTCACTTTAAATTTAATGTTTACTTTGTGCATATTTTTTGTATTATTTTGTGTTACTTTAAAGGGAAAACTGTCAAATAGGTCCTCGAACTTTCATAAAAAAAAGTCAATTAAGTCCTTCTATAGGAGACTCTATCCGGTCTTCGCGATTTGGGGCGGTTCCCAGTGCAATTTTTTGATGAAATTTTTTGAGCATCTTATTCATCAAGTCTAGTTTACTCATACCAAATTTCAGCTAAAAATTTAATCGGGAGCGCATTCAAATTAATTCGAGAACGCAAAAATGCGCAGTTATCTTCAAGAATTAATTTGAATGTGTTCCCGATTGAATTTTTAGCTGAAATTTGGTATGAATAAACTAGACTTGGTGAATAAGATGCTCAAAAAAATTCATCAAAAAATTCCACCGGGAAGTCGGGAACTACCCAAAATCGCGACGGCCGGACAGAACCTCCTATAGAAGGACTTAATTGACCTTTTTATAAAAGTTCGAGGACCTATTTGACAGTTTTAACAACTTTAAATTTAATGTTTTATTTTTTTATCTTTTATGAAAGTTCGAAGGGAATTTATCACAAATAGACAAAAAAGTGAAATTAATATCACTTTTGTCATGTTTCATTTTTTCTTTCAAAAATAGACTCCATACGCGTTTCTTTTCATTAATAAAGCGTTGGTCTTCAGGCTTCACTGCGGAGTGTGGACTGCCTCACCGCTTCAACCTTCAGTTACTCCGTACGACCAGACTCCTCCATATTGACACTACTATCTATATGCTAATTTCTATGTTTAAAACATAGAGAATGTTGTATGTAAGGTTTGCGCATCACTAATTTCTATGTTTAAAATTCTAAAATATGTGAACTAAATTTGAAAATATTCAAACGAAAAAAATTCAATAAAACTATAAACAAATATGAGAAATTAAAAAAACTGATAATAAAAGAGTAAACTTTATTTAAACACACAAACTAAAAAATATAAAACTAAAAATTTATAAATTGTATATATTTTAAATATTTTCAAACATATTAAACAGATAAAAATATTTAGAACTTTTTAAAAGACCAAAAAGTTTAAAAAATCTAAAATATTCCAGAAAACGAAAATAAATACATAATAAAAAATCTAAATTGAAGAAAAATATAAATAAAGTAAAAAAACTATAAATTTTCAGAAATATATAAAAAAAAATAAACAGTTTAAGCTAGTGTTGAAAAGAAGTATATTTTCTAAAATAAATGTGAAAATTAAGATAAAATAACTACTAAAAAAAATTAAAACCAGAAAAATATAAAAGAATATGAATTGTGTGATTTGAAAACGTTCTTTAAGGCTCTCAAGTAAATTTATGAGATTTTATTACATTAAAAAAAAACAAAATAATGTTTTTTAAAAAACTTACTACCTCCGTCCCGGTGGATTTTGCCAAGTGCAAAGTAGGTGAGAAATAAGAATAGTAAAAATTGTATGGTTGAGATTTGTGCAGATGAGAGAGAAATGTGCAGAACCAGTGAACCACAAATTAGTTGCTTTAATTGAAAAGTTGCAAAGTTTTTTGGTACAACCAAAAAATGGAAGTTGCAAAGTCCAATGGGACGGAGGGAGTATTAGAATAAAAAAAAGTAAATTAAAGACAATTAACAAGTGTATAAATATATGTTAATAAATTAAAATAGAAATGTGAAGAAATACAATAAAAAAGTGATAAATACAATAACGAAAAATGAACTTATAATTGAAAAACATATAATTATGATATACTCATATATTTTAGTTATTATTATTATTATCTTAACTTTGTTGCATATTGTTTCTTTGTGTTTCTTTGTGTTGATATTTTTGTTTTTGTTTTTTTGTTTCTTCATGTTTCTTTTTGTTTATTCATAAATCCAGATTTATGTTTTTAGGTATTTGTACACAAACACAAGTATATACATGATTTTTATTCCAAATAAGTAAGGAATATAACTATAAATCTAAATAGACAAAAAATCGATATCAATAATCAATAATAAAAACAATAAGCAACACGATTCAACAAAAAATAACACATTGCAACAGAAAGCAACCCAATGCAACAAAAAGCAACATGTGCAATGCAACAAAGAGCAACAAAAATAACATACTCCGTATAAATATATCACAACATATAAATAATTCATTCTCTTATTACAGTTTATTACATTTATATATT